CAACAGTACCATTCACTGACAGCCAAACAATCGTCCGCGATGCAAAATGCTAGCCTTATAGCACTGCAAAAGGGAACAGCCACCGAAACTTGAAATGTCTGAGGGTCAGGCTACACACCACAACTAAGCTTAAAACTGAAATTTCTTTTGTGTCTCATCTGTTGCGAACGCAGAAAACGGCATTCAGCGTATTTTTTGCCTTTCGCGTAGCAGCTATGCCGCTAGCAGTCGTCGATCATCAAAAAGGGCTCCATGAAACGCAGAAGAAGCAATTTTCCCAAAGCGAGCCTTCGATGTGAATGCAAAAAACAAAAAAAAAAAAGTTAAAGAACATAAAATACCAGAGAAATAAACAAGGGCAAGGGGGACACGCGGTCATAAGAGCAACAGTTACCTGTGGCGGTTATGTTAGGTGAAAACTATAAAAGCAGTACATGTGAAGTAACTTGTAAAACACCCCTGAGAAGTGAAGCTAGCCGTGCAGTGCGGCGGCAGCGGCGTTAGTGGCAATTGCTGAGATGCAAAAATACCTCAGGATCGTCGAAAAAAATTGCGAATGCGGCGCCTGAATCCGGCAAAAGCTTTCTTGCCTCACAACGAACAACGGATAAATGATTGTACGGACCGATCTGATGCTTGTAGTATACGGTGATCGATTTATCGAGCACAGGAGGACTGTCACTGATAACAACCTTAAAAAGTGATGTGCTCTGCACGCACCGATTCACAAATGGCCAGCCCCGGGCGTGCGTGAGAGAAGCAGATAAAGAATTACACTGGGCTGGGCACAGGAGACGCACCAACCCGTCAGTGAAATGTGGTTTCTCCTCAATTCCAGCTCGTCTGAAAGCAGTTTTTCTTTCGCGATTCTCTTCGCTGGTTTTTGAACTTGGCAACTGCCACTCCGCGCACTTTTACCGTCCTCATCGAGCAGGGCCCCGGGAGCAAGCCAGGAGACGACGCCCGAGACGCAACAAACAACGCCTTCAGTGCAACTCATCCTGTACACTGTACGGTGGTTTGATGTACTGTACAAGTTTCATGGTGTGAGGTGAAAAAGCCAAGCCC